GTTAGAAGCCGAAAGCCTGTTTACCCGAGCACCGCTCGAGTCAACCAGGGGGCATCATTTGAAGTTAATGAAGCCCAAGAGCGAACTTAACCTTAGGTATAATTTCTTCACGAGTAGAGTGATAGATGAGTGGAATCAGCTACCATCTTCACTGATAGACTGTAGGACAGTCGACGAGAGTTCAAGAGCCAGCTAGATGGGGTCTGGACGAGCCTGTATCCAGAGATCATGTAGGGTACCTGCTATTGACAGTAGGTGTCTATGCTGCCCTTTTTGCAGGTGCGGACGCGCCAAGGTGGACAGTTCGAAACGAAGAAATCGGCCGTGGTCAAACGGTCGACAAGAAGTTGAAGCTCCGGAAGACGTGTTTCCGACTGGAGCAAGAATCTGGACGCTCGAAAGGCGAAAGCCTTTACCGTCATGTGCAACCTGACCTGACCTGACCTGACCTTACAATGTTTCGGAGAGTAAAGCCTAATGATTAACTTTCAACACTCAACTTCGGGAAATACCACTGCCCAGAATTCATCTAGCCTTCTATTGGAAGATTAGGCATTAATACAGTTAACCACTGCTTCTAGTATACTTCTGTTTTTGAAGAACCTAGCTCGCAAATTTAGTCTACAATGACTTCTTCCCAATCTAAGTTGATGCCCCCTCGTGCCTCTGGCAGGAACAAACGAGAATACGTTTCAGAACTATAGACCCGAAAGCCCTTTGACAAACTTAAATGTCTCTATAAGGTCGCCCCGCATGCATCTGCGGGCCAGTGAGAACAGGTCCAGGTCCCTCAGTCGTTGGAGGTATCCCTTATCTTTCTGGCCTGCTACCATTCTAGTTGCTAAGCGCTATACTTTCTCAAGACAGCGTTCGTCCTGTTTAAGATAAGGCGCTCATGCCTGTACGCAATATTCTAAATGAAGGCGCACTATAGTTTTGTACAACGGTACAAAAACCTCCGGTCTTCCGTAACTTACAACAGCACACAAACTGAAAAGTTCCCAGTAGTCTACGCAACAAAATTACCCTAACCAGAGACCTTTATGATTAGGAAAGGACTCTCGGGAGTCAGAAAACGAAAATATCCTCCAGGAGGCTATCCACCAAGGAATAACAGGGAACGCATACAACAATGAACCCGAGGATCACTTCAAGACTTAATAAACAGTGGTGTCCTGGTTACTAGGTACAGTTTCTTCAGTAGCAGAGTAGTGAACGTTTGCTCAGTTCAGTTAAGCTCAGCTTGCACAAGACCGGCCAATCTAGCGTCCAGATTGATGTGTTGTTGGCTGTTCTTGTGGCTTCCAACACTGCGAGTCAATGGGTTTTCTCTGAAAGTCAGAAAGTGAGGTGCAGTATGTATTTCACTTTGATATTTTGAAAATCCTTCCAAACCCATCATGATTTATGGTGACATAACTCTATGTGTGTTGCTTCTCTATTGACATTTCTCAATCACAAACACCATACATTATTCTTTGTCTGGTAATTCAATGCCCGGTACATTTGAATTTTGCGTGATCAGAGAACATGGGCGACTGTTTGGCTCTCTCTGGACATCATATTTGGCTCACTTGTTTGAGTGCTTTTGGCCGCATATTTGAGGTTTGCCTTATTGTACATTAGTAATGATTCCGCTAATTCAGTACCGTAGAACATTACGGATCAATTGTGTTTTTACTTTGGGATTCGTATCGGTTCGGCTACGCGTCACTTAAGTGCGAATTGGTTGACGTACAGTACTAAAATTGGAATCAAACGAGAAAACTATTTCGAAGATGCCCATAAGAGGAAGGAAACTGGAACCCAACAGGAAGTAACCCGGCAAGTAACTGGGGTGGGACTGTAGGTCACTTTGATTCTTTAGAAAATGTTAGATCTGTTAGTCCTGCCAGTGCTGTCTCATATGTAGATTCAGATATTAAGGATAATGATATATTTAAATTGCGGGTTTCTGAGTTAGAGCATGAGTTGAGATTAGTTAGACAACAGATAGAACAGGCCAAACGTGAAAAAACCGATTTCAACAGCACAGCAGCACCTAGAGCTGAGACTGCACACAGTTGCTTCTCTCCCAATACACAACCCGTCCCTCAGCAAAGAACGTATGTCGATGTAAACGTCGATTTGCCAAGAGTAGAACTGACACCTTTCCACGGTACCCCGAACAATATTGCCAATTCATTCGCCAATATGCAAAGTTCGTTGAATGGAAAACCGACGATGCAAGGCAAAGGTTTCTGTTTTTGCAGCACTATTGTCGTGGGAAGGCCAAAGAAGCCATAAAGGGTGTGCAATGCTGAACTCGGAAGTGGGCTACCTGACAGTTGGAAATAAACTGAAGTAGATGTTTGGCCAACCATTCCGAGTGGCACGAAACATGATAGACGGGGTGCTGGCAGAAGCGAGGCGCACACGAGGCGATACGAGGTCTCTATCAAACCCGGTCATCAAGATGCAGAACTGCAGCATCGCTCTAAACCACCTCGAATATCGCTCGGACCGAGGCCGATCGAATCGAGAAAAAGAACGGAGAGGCGACATTTGACGAACTCACCCAATTCATAGGTTGTCGATCTCGCACAGCAAATAGTCGATTCGGTCAACTAGCGAGGGAAAGCATCAGGACCGTTAGGCCTTCAACCATCTTTGCACCGTCTGGGTCTCGAGGTCCCAATCCCTCACACAACTGGGAGAGCACAAACTTAATCTCATATGACCCATAAAGACCGATTAAGTGCAAAGTGTGCACAGGTGTCCACGAGCTTGTTGACTGTCCAGAGTTTTTGGCAATAAAGTTGATGGACCGCTGAACAGTAGCTAAAGGGATAGGGTCCTGCTTTGTGTGCTTGAGCGATACCCACAGAGCAGCCCTTTGTAGAAACCGAATCAACTGTGGTCAAGACAATTGCAGGTTTCGGCATCACNAACAATCTTGCTCGGGACAGCCAAAAGGGGTTCAATATAACCGAAAGCAACGGTTAATTCAACAACGAGGTCCAATGGAAACTTTGGCAGCAATAAAACAAGAAAATGCACTGAATCCCATTTACATATAAGAGGAAAGCACTTGAAGTATGTGTCCAGTAGATATGCTTCACCGTGGAAAAGGTGAAATAGAAAGTCCGAAAGAGAAAATTCACCGAAATGAAAATCACTGTCGGAAATAACGCCCGATAGAATTGCGAAAAGAGAGACGGAAATGCAAAGTAATTGAGAGGAATTTTCAGTATTTTTAACTCTTACAACCGCCTCGAATATCGGTCGAAACTTGATACACTTCATTCGCTAGAATCGATCGTCTGATATCTGCCGACCGAAATGCAGATTGCCTGGGCAACCGATGCCGATCGAATCGAGAAAAGGAACAGAGAGGCGACGTTTGAAGAACTCGCCCAATTCATAGGTTGCCATTCTCGCATAGCAAATAGTCATTTCGGTCAACTAGCGATGGAAAGCATCAGGACCGCTAGGCCTTCAACCAACTTTGCGCATCTGGATCTCGAGGTCCCCATCCCCCACACAAGTGGGCGAGCACCAACCTAATCTCATATGACACACAAAGACCGATTATGTGCAAACTGTGCACAGGTGCCCACAAAGCTTGTTAGCTTCCCAGAGTTTTTGGCAATGAAGGTGATGGACCGCTGGACATTAGCTAAGAGGACAGAGTCCTGCTTTGTGTGCTTGAGCGATACCCACAGAGCAACTCTTTGCAGAAACCGAACCAACTGTGGTTAAGAAAATTGCAGGGCCCGGTATCACCCCTTATTACACCACGATGAAGGAGTCGAGCAGCGAACAAATAATGGCCGGGTCGATAGAACCGACGAACACTGCGCGGGATACACCAAAATATGTCTGCACTATCGGATGGGTGTCAAGTGGGCCGGTCCGCTTGGGAATACTACCAATCCAAGTGGAGACTCCGCGTGACATGGTCCAAGCCGTGGCGTTTCTAGACAATGGATCGAATACTACACTCGTGGCAGAGAGCTTTGCACGAGAACACGACCTAGGTGGACAAAACACCTCATTGGCAATCAGCACGATAAATGGGGCACGAGCAGTTCGAGCTTCTCAAATGTGTTTGAAGTTAGCTCCCACATTGGGGAAAGATACGAAAAAGGTACACCAGGCATTTACTATCGCCGAACTACTCATGAGAGCTTCCGAAAGTATCCGGTCACTAGCGCGGCGCTGGCCTCACCTCCACGATCTGCCGTTCGAGGATGTTCCGGAGAGCCGAATGGACATATTGATCGGCTGTGATGTACCCGAGGTGCATTGAGTTCTAGACCAAATGATAGGAGGCCGTAGAGATCCGTATGCNAAGACAATTGCAGGTTTCGGCATCACCCCTTATTACACCACGATGAAGGAGTCGAGCAGCGAACAAATAAT